AAACTGCATGTGGAATATCTGTGGACGACATGTCTGAAATAGATGTTTTACTTGAAGAATTTGTCGGGAAAGAAGAAAGCTTAAACAAAGTTAGTGATGCTCAGTCAAGAAAGCAAAATGAAGATAAAAGCAAGGCAGAGGACATAAGGCAGAAAGCTTTAGAGCGATACAGTGAAACGAAAAAGCGCAAGTCAACAGAGAATGGCGATGGATGCCAGGAGAAACCGAAGCGCCAAAGGAGAAGTGCTGGCACCGAACCACTAGTTCAATTCATGCAAGAGAAAGTCAAGACTGAGCGAGAATTACGAGAACAAGAACTGGACCTAAGAAGACTAGAGCAAGAGCAGAATCAGCAAGTGATGGTGACTGTCTTACAGCAACAACAACAAACAAATCAAGCCATTTTGTCGGTTATTCAAAATCTTCTTTAGAAGAAAGAATGACATTTTCCCTAAGTATTCAGTGTTCTTTTGTTTCAGCAACAAGACAGGTATTTGTTGAAATTGATGTCTTATTATTTACTTGCGTTTTGTGAATTGGAAAAAAAAAAGTTCATTTATTGTTATTGTTACAAGTTTGATCACTTCTGCATTGTTGACCACCAAGAAGAATTCAAGTACTTAATGAATTTATGTTGAATTATAATGGCCTTCATTTCTGCTCGGTTTATAAGAGAGAATTCATCTAAAATAATACTGCAATGAAGGAGGGTCTAGACCAAAACACTCTGAGGTTTTGTTTCCATATAGGCAGGTACCAGCATTATTAAGAAGTGCACATACAAGATACATTTTTCCCACTGAACTCGTTCCAATTCTCAGGTTTTTCTTAAAGTTCAAAAACTTAAGGTCGTTGATGATGTCACCAGATAGCCTCTCCACAGTTACTCTAACAGAACTCATGTCAAAATTGTATTGTTCCATCATCGGTGTTAGGACACCATGGCGAAATGGTGCCTGTAGGTGTATTCGCAGCGGATAGGCGGGATCACCATGAACACTCATGGGTTGGCCAGTTGGGGAAAATGCGTTCCTTTCCAATTCCTGGAGAAGATTGGAATCTACCAAGGTGCTTGCATCATGTTTTCTTCCCTCTGCATACCAAAACGGAAAAATAAAATTAATAAACGAGAGAGACCTTCTGTGGCAGCTTATATTCATGGCATCCCAGTAAACATAACTTACCGAAAAGCCCATACATATTTCCAATGAGTCCATTTGGTAGAGCGACGGACTGAAACTTGAGGGAATGTACCCATTTATGGCCATTGCACACTATTGTTTGGTGTTGGCCTGGGCGAGAAATTGATCTGACTGTTCCATCAATAAACCCAAAGCAGTTGCTGAGAGGTGCACCCTTTGCATGAGTAACATCTGCATACTCCTGTGGCATTGGCGGAATCAATATATCAAAGTTCCATTGTGAAATAGGATGACCATGGCTCAAAAAAATATCATCCATCATCGTATTGGTAATCATACTTATTTCAGGAACTGGTCGTGCGAAACGATGAATCGTGTCTGGATAGCGACATGGATACGAGAAGCGCTTCAGAAGCATACTAAGCCCTTCAGTTCGGTCACACGTTGTTCTTTGTGGACTGCGTATAGTGTCTGGTAATTGAAGGACATTTGCCAATAACGTTATGTCCTGTTTTCGCAGTCTCAACTCCGCTAAACACTCTGATTCATCCATCTGGTGGAAATCAAACTTAGGGTAGGAGCTGTAAGGGATTTCTGGATTCTTGGAACTGTAACTTTCGTACAAGGTCAAAAATTCTTCATCACTGATGATTTTACTATCGTACAAAAAAAAAGCAGGTTTCTCATCTCACTGAAGGATGACATGAAATTGTGGTGCATGCCGTTGAAATATGACTCTTTAAGGATTATTCATCATATCGCACGCAGCACGTGTGGGAAAGATGATGTAAATCCTGTGTTCTAATTGGCTACTCGAGCAGGCAAGATGGGCCCATCTTACCCGCTCAGGATTGCCCGTATTGATCCCGCGCATGAGAAAAATAGAATAAGAACTACGTTCGTAACTCTTGGAGAATTTCGGCGACGGAAAGGCAAAAAGCGGCAGAAGATAGTCAAAACAAAGAAAATAGAAGCAGCTCTCGTGAGTTTGTTGTGCAACAAAACTTGTTGGCTTTCATTCCCAGCTCTCGAAGGAAAAGGTCATTCTTAACTCGTAATAAAGCGATATCTTTTGTAATATAATAAATCCTTTATTAACCAAGCTTGTCCGGTCAAGATGGCTGGATATTAGCCTTGTTCCTTTTTCAAAATTTTATGCACTTCGACTTCGTCTCGGTCTATAAAAATGCAAAGAAAGAACTCGGCCAATATCCAGCCATTTTGACCTCACGCTTGGTTAATAACCCATATATAAATTATTCACACATGAGAAATTGCTCAAATATTATCAGTGCTATTTATATCATTGTTATAGTGTGTACATACTGTTCTGACCCGCACTGTAATTCAGCTCTGCCTACAAAAGAGTTGATTAAGCATATCTATCTGTCTATCTATCTGTCTATCTAACTATCTATCTATCTATCTATCCACTTCTTTTTGTCTTCTTTTCTTTAACCTACGTACCTGCATGTTAATATCGTGTCAAGCAATAGCTTAGAAATTTAACCTTGCTTTACCACAAGAAGAAAAACCCGATCAAACTGAAAATGTTTCAAAAGATAAGAATTCAACTGTTCTATTAACTTACCAAACCGAATTCTCATAGGGATCGATAATTCCTAATTTCTAAATTTGTTGAGGTCACGTGAAAAGCAAGAATGAAATCCCCCGGTTTAATAGACCCGGACTCTAAATCAGAATTTTACGGTTTGCTCAACTCTCGACTTTTTTCACGCAGAATGGCTGGAGATCATCAGTTACTCGTTAGCACTGAAGCGGAAAATGTGAATTAATGCAATAGCGCATGGAAAAGCCCAACGGAAGGGGAGAAAGGACTTAAACTAGCCCAGTAGCATTGATAAATCTCGTTTTTACGATTTAAAGAAGCAATAAGTTAGAAATCCAAGAGTGGCTTTTTTAGAGGTTGGGTTTATCTATAATTAAAACTTAAGAAGGGAAAGTTTAAAGAAGTATATTAGTAATCTTTGGACTGAAATGAGGAAAAGAAGGGACAGTTCTAGTTGGAGGCCTATTTCAAAAGCGATCTGTTTTAACAAAGAAGATCGACACAACATTTCAATCACAATCAGATGCGATGCTTGATAAACTTTTGGGGGAAAATATTTTCGTGACTAGCGGGTACACGTCCATTGAGAGACAAATAATTGAATAAATGATCAAATAAAAAAAGTTGAATATTAAATAACTTAATGATTGCTAGAATGGTGATTTTAACTGTTCCATGTCCTTTTTGTAGATGCAAATTGACCTCTAATGAAAGAAAAAAGCTAAAACAATTATGGTTATAACGATGTAGATAACTTAACTCTTCCCTTTCAGCTTTCAAGGCCGTTTTTACAAACCTCGACGCCAGTGGAAGAATTGGTCCAACAACGCTAGGCAGTCACTACAAAGGACAGGATCATGACGGACAAGTTACGCTGTCCAGCGGAGTTCAACAGTGGACTGTGCCGTACACTGGTGACTACAGAATAGAGGCAATAGCAGCTGGAGGAGGGTACGATATACGCGCTAACAGTATTCAGTACCGAGGAAGAGGAGCAAGAATGATTGGAACGTTCCGCTTAAACAAGCGTGAAGTCATTCAAGTACTTGTTGGTCAAGAAGGAGGAATAAACACGAATTCATATTCTTCTGGAGGTGGTGGAGGAACGTTTGTGGTGAGAGGAGCCAACACACCATTGATAATAGCTGGAGGCGGAGGAGGGACAGATTATGCATCGTCAAGACATGAAGGATGTGACGCAAGTACAAACACAACAGGGAATCCTGGATACAAATCATGGTCAGGGGGGAGCAATGGACATGGTGCACAGACTGCTGATGATGGATGGTCAGGTTAGAGTATATCGTGATGATTCCTTACATCTCAGCTTTTCATTTAATATTATATCATAATCATATGATAACTGCGCTCTAATTAGCTTATAATTTATCAAAAAGAGATAGAGATGGCTTAGACTGACGTCATTGTTAGCGAGGATTTACCATCGAGTTTACCCGCGAAGTTTCAAAACTTTCAAGATTGTTTTCCCTTTAACCTCTTGGAGCTCTATTTGAAAAGAGGATGTGCTAAAATGATAATCGTTTCTAAGAACAATGAGCATCAGGTAACTCTTAAAAGCCACGGAATTAGTTTTGGAGTCGACGATATTTTATATGCCAAACGCGATGCGTGAATGTGGGTGAAAGCAAAACTGAGCTTTTTTACTTCGACTGAGGCTTCGCGACGTTGGGGTGAATGTTATTCTGAAGAGCTGCTGCATGTATGTACCAAAAGTGTTGTTGAATAGATGATTTTCCTTTGAAATCGTACAATTTTTAAGATTTTCAACACAAAGCGACGCAATCTCTGATCGTCAATTCTAGTAACCAACAATTCAAGGGGGTAAATCTATCACATGGGACTCGTAAATTTAGGAAATTTCCTCTTAGTTTTCTGAACGGCCGGTATTAGTTTTAATGTTGCATTGATAACTCCGAACGCTCCCGGCTGCGCTTCGAGCAACTCCTCTCTTGTGCTCTCCAAAGTTTCCGCGTGCACCATAACTCGAAATATTCATCGGAGGCACATAAATCTTTAATAAATCTCGGATAAACTATGAATATCCCGAGATAAATAAAAACATGTGGGGAGCCCTGAAATATACACATGTGAAAAATATAACTCGCGGCTTACTTAGAAAAGATCATGTCTAAAAATTAAACTATGTAGTTTTAATCTATAAACAATCAACAACATCTAGGTTACTTCTCACATATAAACAGCAGTTCCGCCTTTTTCCCTCAAAACCCCTCTTGACCAGTTCATGTTCCGTCTGAATATGTTGTAGATAGGCATGCTGACAATAGATTCAGGTTTATCTGGCTCAAGGTGTATCTCGGAGGCGACGCAAACCTCAATATCGTTCTTCTTTAAATGATCTTGAGTGTACAGCCGCTCTAAAGGGGTTCTTTGTTTTAGTTGGGCTACAAATGTTAGTAAATAAAAATTTTGAAACAGCAAACTCGCATTTCGGGCTTTGCTGACTTGTCGATGAGGTCGATTGTCTCGTGTTTTAAATAAGGCAGCAGTCTCGCTGTATACGCTTAGCCGGGGTGTTTGGATGTCTCTGAGTGATGACAACTGGTATCCGATAAGCTTTCGTGCTTTCAGAATTAATGCGTCTTCATCCTCCTCTGTTTCTCGAGATTTTCAGAATGCCAAGTAATTTCAGAAAATATAACGTGTCGTTATTTTGGTCGACAAGCTCGAGCTCGTGATCGAGGGTCGTCTGGGATGGTCTCAATAGGGGCGAAGAGGGTGATGTTCACGGTTGACGGTAAAATTTTAAGTCATTTGACGGTTGATGATTAATTTTTTGGAATATTGTTTATGAAACGAACTAAACGCACGAATTTGGCTGTAAATTTTCATAATGACGCGTTTGTAAAGAACTGTTAGTTCATGACACCTTTCATTGATAAATGACTAACGTCTTAGGACACCGGAAATATTTCCAAACCGGAAACCAGTTCTGTCGCTAGCCAGTTTTACTTGCGAATAGAGGTTAAAGGACTTCCATAAATGTATTTTTTTGATATATCAAAAATTTTATTATAAAAAATATAACTTGACCCTAATTAAGGCAGTCGCATAGTTCTTAATTAAGGATATCTGAGACATTTGACGGCCAACATTGGTTTGCTTATTTGGCAGCTGACGGTAAAAATATTGCGTTTTTGGGTCAAGGTCATGACGCACGGGCCGAATGCGGCGCGGTCCGTGCTACAATTCGTGACCGTAAGCCAAATATCTTCCCGTTTAGCATAATCAAACATGATTAACCACCTCAAAAATTTGGTTTCACACTAAAAGGAGGCGATGCACAAGCGCACACTGAACAATCACTATGAAGATCCTGCAGGAAAAACTTTTTTCTTTGTTTTTTCGTGTCAGAACAAGAAACCCACAGTTCATTAACCCGTCCGACCCTGCGCACGTCAGCTTTCACTATGACTTTAAATGGGGATACGCGCGCCATGATACATATGCGAAAAGTAGAACTTGCTGCGCGTTTATAAAAGATCATATCTAAAACTTAAACTATGTAGTTGTAATCTATAAACATCAAAAACATCTAGGTTACTTCTCACATAAACAGCAATTCCGCCTTTTTCCCTCAAAACCACTCTTGACCAGTTCCTGTCCCGTCTGAATATGTTTTAGATCGGTACGTTGACAATTGATTCAGGTTTATCTAGCTCAAGGTGTGTTTAGGAGGCGACGCAAACATCAATATCGTTCTTATTTAAATGATCTTCAAGTGTACAGCCGCTCTAAACTGGTTCTTTGTTTTAGTTGGTCTCAAATGCTTGTAAATAAAAATTTTGGAACAGCAAACTCGCATATCGGGCTTTACTGACTTGGTGTAGATGAGGTCGATTGTCTGGTGTTCAAAATCAAGCAGCGGTCTCGTTGTATAGGCTTAGCCGTGGAGTTTGGCAGTAGTGTCTCTCTGAGTGATGACCACTGGCATGGTATCCAATCTATAAGTAGTTTACGGTTGGTGGTTAATTAGTTTAGTTTAGTTTATTGAGATTTGCCACTGAAAAATATAATTTACAAGTAAATACATGAACAGAGGCACGCAATAAATAAACAAAAATATAATGGTAGGACTACAGGGCCAGCCCCAATTGACATTTGTCCCCTTAAAAAAAATACAAAGAATAGAAAAATATGGGTTACATATGCACTTATGTACTTTGTCTATAGAATAAAATAATTAGCCGACCAACTGCGACACTTAGTTAGGGCGGAGTATAAATCGTGAGCTTTTCTCTATAAAACCGCTTAACTCAGGCTTTAAAGTTATGTAAATAGCTAGCTTGCTTAATGTTGTTCGGTAAATCGTTCCATAATTTAATTGTGCGAGGAAAGAAAGAGTTTGTAAAATACCGCTGAGTATGAGTAAATTAAGGGCGGATGTTTAAAGGATGATGACGTCGGGTTGCGTATGTATGGTTAGCAGGAAGCAGAAGATGGTTAAAACTAGCGTTGATAAGACCTGACCTAATTTTGTATAAAATGACAATATCATGGACTTCTCTTCTGAATTCAAGCGGCAGTAGGCTAAGAGTTCTCAGTCTCGCAGTGTAGCTGGTTTTCCTATCTGGGTGGTTTAGTATAAATTTAGTAGCCCGTCGCTGTATATTTTCTATTAGCCTACGATGCCTACGGTGCTTTGCTGTGTAAGGAGACCATACAGAGGATACGTACTCGACAATTGGGCGAACTAACGCAGTGTACATCATTTTCCTAGTTGATACGTTAACAATGTCTCTACCGCATACACGCTTTACAAGACCAAGAACATTGTTACACTTAGCACATATCTCTTCGATGTGCGTCGTCCATGATAGTGGAGTCGTCCATGACAGTCACGCCTAAAATGCTTGGTGTCAGGAGGCGAGTCCAAGGTCTGGCCGTCTAAATGGTATGTATGCTTCTCTCTTTGGCGCGAGGCCCTCTTTGACACGTTTAGAACTTTGCATTTGTTTGTGCTGAAAGACATACCATTGTCGTTAGACCAAGTTTTGGAATTGTCCAAGTCAGCTTGCAGCAGGGAGGCACATCCATTGGAAACAATTGGGCGATATAGCTTATTATCGTCCGCAAAGAGGTCAAGTTTACTTTCGTGGGTAATGGATCACGACATGTCATTAAGGAAGACAAGCAATAAAAGCGGACCCAGGATGGAGCCCTGGGTTACTCCTGATGTGAGCGGGAGCCAGTCTGAGGATATGCTGTCAACAACAACTCGTTGCTATCTGTCAGAAAGATAGCTTGAGAACCACAACAAAACAGGACCGGATATACCAAGGAGCTGAGGCTTCGAGAGGAGTAGCCTGTGTGGAACCTTATCAAATGCCTTTGACAGGTCAAAATGGATTACGTCCACTTCTTGGCCATTGGCTAGTTTGTCTAAAATATCGTTATACACCTCAAGTAGTTGCGTTTCTGTAGATTTTCGTTGTCGTCACACTGTCATGGAAGTGTTAGGAATTTATTTATTAAATGTAAATTATTTTTTTTATTCTCTTAGGATCAGTGTAGTTCGTGATTATTTGTATCTGTTACGTAATTTTTATTCTTCACTTGTGTAAACTGTTGTGTAATTAACCTTTATTGTGTATATCAAATAGTTTTCTTCATTCTTTTCGGGCACCTTGCGTCCATGTGTATTTAAGGATTTGGGTGGTTTGGTACGGTGTGGTTTTTTTTT